TCACCATTATCATCATCGGCAGCATCAGCAGCAGCATCATCATCCTCATCAGCATCAGTACCATCATCGTCATCGTCATAATCATCATCCTCATCATCATCATCACCATCATCATCATCCCCATCAGCATCAGCAGTGTCAGCATCATCCTCTTAATCAGCATCATCAGCATCAGCAGCAGCAGCATCATGATCATCATCATCATCAGCCGCATCATCATCCTCATCCTCATCCTCATCAGCATCAGCATCATCATCATCATCATCATCATCATCATCATCATGGTCGTCGTCGGCATCATCAGCATCATCAACATCAACAGCAACACCAGCATCGTCATCCTCACCGTCAGCAACATCAGCAGCATCATCATCACCGGCACCATCAGCATCATCATAATTAGCAGCCGCAGCATCGTCGTCAACAGCATCATCACCACCATCAGCATCATTATCAGCATAACCAACAGCATCGGCATCATCAGCGTCGTCAACATCGGCATCATCAACATCGGCATCATCATCAGCATCAGCCGTATCAGCACAATCACCATCAGCATGAACAGCATCATCGTCATCATCATCATCATCAGTATCATCATCAGCATCATCATCCCCACCATCATCACCAACACCAGCATCAGCATCAGCTTCAGCATCAGCATCAGACTCAGACTCAGCATCATCATCAGCATCGTCATCACCATCGTCGTCGCCATCATCGTCAGCATCATCATCGCCATAAGCATCTTCGCCATCAACCTCATCATCATCATCATCAGCATCCGCATCTTCATCAACATCATAATTATCATCATCATCCGCATCAACATCATCATCATAATCATCATCGTCACCATCACCAACATCATCATCACCATCATCATCATCATCAGCATCATCATCATCATCATCATCATCATCATCATCATCATCATCATATGAATCATAATCACCATCCCCTCCTCATTCACCCTTTCCTCCTCCTCCTCCTCCTCCTCCTCCTCATCATCATCATCATCATCAACCTGCTCCTCCTCCTCCTCCTCCTCCTCCTCCCCACGTCCTCCTCCTCCTCCTTCCCCATCTTATCATCCTCCTCATCCTCCTCCTGCTCCTCCTCCAACTCCTCCTCCTCCTCCTCCTCCGCCTTCTCCTCCTACTCCTCCTCCTCCTCCTTCGCAGCCATTCCTTTCCGTATAAACAACGTCTCCGTGTCACACCCCGAGGCCAATTTTTAAGCGGGCTGGGCGTTTCGCCTGAGACACCCTCACCACTTATGGTTTTGAAGCTGAACAAATGGCAGCACTTTGACAGATGGAGGGCGGGTGGTCCTCAACATGTGGCTCTCGTCCCAGCGCCACGCACATTCGCTTTAAACATGTGCAGGGGACTCACGGGTTGAGGGCTGGTGGCTTTCAAATGTTGCCCTCGCTTTAGCGCCGCGCACACTCGTCTTGAACATGTACAAGAGCTTCACGGATTGAGGGCGGGTGATTTTCAAAAGGAGGCTCTGGCCTTAGCGCCGAACGCATCATGCCTAAACATTTGCAACAGCTTCACGGATTCAAGGCGACCCGTTTTCAAAATGTGGCTCTCGCCTTAGCGCCGAGACGTTCGTTCTAAACAGAATTTCGCGGATTGAGGGCGGGTCGTTTTCAAAATGTGGCTCTCACCCTAGCGCCGCGCATACTCGCTTTATACCGTTGCAGACGTTTCACGTATTAAAGGCGGTTCCTTTTCAAAATGTGGCTCTCGCCTGAGCGCTGCGCACATTCGTCATGAACATGTGCAACAGTTTCACGGATGCCCATGATCAACGTACCAGAAATAGGATGTTGGAAGGAATCGGGATTTTGCGGGTGCAACAATTCTCTTGCTTCGCGGTGTTGAAGTCCCCAAAATGGCGTTCTAGCGCGAATCCAGATCGTCAAGGCGCAGCAGTCAGGTTGATCCGTGGCGTAGAAATCCCAGGAACAATGTTTTGGCATGCTTCAAGGTCTTCAAAGGGTTGTCTTCCAACGAGCCAGTTCCCCCAATGCAAATTAACCCTTGTAGGGGCCTATGAAGAGGGAGCTTGGAGGGAGGGTTAATTCCAACATCGTTGATGATCTTGGGTTTACACTGGTCCTTTTCCTTCTCCCCCTCTTCCTGCTCCTCCTCCCATTCCTCCCTTTCCTCCTCCTCCTCCTCCTCCTCCTCCCATCCATCCTTCTCCTCCTCCTCTTCCTCTTCCTCCTCCTCTTCCTCCTCCTCTTCCTCCTCTCCTCCTCCTTCATTACAATTCCATTTAAATAGCTTCTCCATGTCGCACCTCGAGGATCGTATTTAGGCCGGGCCAGGGGCATCGCATTTATGGCCCTGAAGCTCAAACGTTGACAACCGTTTCACAGATGGAGGGCGTGCCGTTTTCAAGATGTGGTTCTCGACTCATCGCCGCGCACATTCGTTGTAAAATATGAAAGAACTTCGCGGATTGAGGGCGATCCGTTTTCAAAATG